AGTTAAATGGATGCTTCAGTCAGAAAAATTATTGCAATAGCTCTAATCCCACTTTATAGTTTGAAAAGGGGATCACCCAAAAGATTTCACCCAAAAAGTGGCAATCCCACCTCACTTTCCCTGGCACAAGCACTCACAGAGCAGAAACCACCCCTCTCACACGACCAAGTGTTAATTTGTTTGACATTTGCATCACTTTGCTGATTCAACCCTCACCACAGAGGGAAGAGGAACGTGAGCAGGATAGGAGCAGCTTTCCCAAATTAGAGGGATAACCCAGCTGGCTGAAGGCACACCCCAGCACTCCCATCTCTGTGTCAGGGCTCTCAGGAGCCTCCTCTGCGTTTTCAAGTGTTACAGACCCAGAATCACAGAATTCTAGAACAGTTTGGGTTGGAAAAGACTCAAAAGCTCATCTAGTTCCAACCTCCATGGGCGGGGACATCCCAACTGGAGCCTTGTGGGAGAGTGGTTTAGAGAAACAGGAAATTAAGGGAAAGGACTGCACGAGGTTAAAAATCGCTGTTTAGCAACCTGGCACCGCGTTTCCAGAGACAGCACAGAGCTGTCTGCAGTAATTTTTTTTTTTAATGTAAGTGCAAATATCGGTTAAGGAAGTGGCCTTTAATCACAACAAACCGCCACGTGTCAAGAGCCAGGAAGTGGCGGACTGCTGGAAGAGCCAAACAGCTCAATTAAACGAGAGCAACATCTCAATTAATAGATTTGAAGCAGGAGAAACTTTGGGAAGTCAGCCGGCCCGCTCACCCGTAGTACTCCAGGGCGCAGCCCAGCATGAGGAACGTCAGCCCGATGGCTCCGCTGAAGGACAGGGCCACGAGAGCTGCAACGGCACAGGGCGGGCGGTGAGGCGGCGGCCGGGCATCCCCCCCGGGGACCGGGCATCTTCCCCCCGGGGACCGGGTACCACCTCAGCGGGGACGGGCATCCCTCCCGCGGGACCGGGTACCACCTCACAGGGGACCGGGAACCGCCTCCCCGGGGACCGGGCATCCCTTCCCGCATTCCCGGCCGCCAGCTCCCGCGCTGAGGCGATGCGTGGACGCTCCCTGAGCGGGAAGCCGCGGGAAGCCTTGGGAAGGAGGGAGGGAAGGAGCTCTCAGTACCTTTGACGCCCGCCATGTCCGGCCTCCTGAGGTGACTTCCGCCTTCTGGCCACGCCCCGTCACGTGACCACCGCGTTACCAAGGCGGAGGGGCGGGACAAGAAGTTCCCGCCCTCGCGACAGGGGGCGGGGTCTGCTGAGGGAGCGGCCCCTGCGAGGAGATTAGAGCGGATACCCGCACGGATATACGTGTTTATTTTATGTATGGTGTGTAATAAATGTATATATGTACGTGATAAATGCATGTATGTGTGTGCACAGCCGCGGTCTGAATACAAAAGCGCCGTTTTAAAGAGCCTCCGCCCTTCAGTCGCTGCCGTTTTGCAGGGTACTCCTGAAACCCCGTTTTCACCCCAAAAAATGGGCCGGGGCACCCGTTTATCTCATACACTGCCTTCTCAGGGTCTGCATCATTCCTTCTGCTAATCCACACTGAGAAGGGCACGTAAGTTTTTTTTAAAGAAATATTTTTCAAGCCTTAGATTTTTGAAATGCCACTTTCGACCCCACATTTTTTACCCAAGAGCTGCCTTTTGGCCCCAAGAACAGCCTTTTTGACCCAATAAGAGCCTTTTTGTCCCAAGAGCTACCCGATCTTTGCCCTAAGACTGATCTTTTCGGCCTGAGAACAGCCGTTTTGATCCTAGAACAACATTTTTGCCCCAAGAACAGTCCTTTGATCCAAGAACAGTCTTTTTGAGGGAGATTTTGGACAGCCCTTTGGATACCCCTCCCGAGGGACCTTTTCTTCAGATACCTCCCCTCTCTCCCTCTTATTTCTTCTCATTTCATCCAGATATTTTCCCTATTTTTCCCCTTTTATTCCCATTTTTCCCCTCTGATACAGATTTTTTCCCGTTTTTCATTGTTAATTTTAAATAGTTTTGAACCAAAAAGGCTAATTAAAGCAGGCTTAAGCAGCTGAATGCTTCAAGTGAAAATTTTGGGGTTGCTGACTTGCCTGACTATGGGTCTCCAAAGCACAGTAGCATAAGTACAGCAATGACAAGTTGTTTCCAAAACATCTTAAATTGGGAAAAGCACTTGGAATGCCAACCTGTGGATAACCACAGGCATTAATGACCACTTACAGCAGCAATACTGCCCCTGTCCAGGGCACACCACCCCTCACACAGGAGCTGTTGTAGAACTTTAACCTTTTGGGCTGGTCACAAGCACAAAACATACCTGAATATGTTAATTTGAGCTCTTTAATGTATGTACAAATGTTTTAGACCAGTCACAATTTCATTGAGTATATACCATATTTACAAAAATTACAATAATTGAGTCAAACAGTAAACCTGAACATTGATAACCTCTGTCACTACCAGATATGACAAGAACTTTTTTTTTAGTTAACTATTTTGATATACATACGTCCTAATACTTTCATGCATCCATAAAAACATTAGGGATGGAAGTAATCAAAGCTTAAGTGGCAGAGAGGTTTTTTTGGTAGATAAAGTTTAATGATGGATTTGTATTTTGTGAAGGGATGAGTATCCAGAGTTATGTGCCATGACAAACTCCATACAAAGCTAATGTTTTCATCATTAAAAAAGTACGTTATAGTAATGAGATCCTTTTTATTATATAGGCATAGGTCACAATATCTACAAATGTGAATGAGAAACAGTAAACCAACAAATCACAGGAACATGATTCACATTCCAGTTATCTCTTTAAATAAGACAAGCACATACTGGATCAAAACATTAATAAATAACATCCAGTTTGTTACTATTATCTTAAGGTCTTTTATATAAAAGGAGACCTATGTGTTGGTTTCACATTTTCAGTTAATGGTAGTAAATAATGGACCAATACAACAAAAGGATGAGTTTTATACAGAAAGCAATGTACTTTGACACACTGTCTTTGCAGTAATAGCTTTGCCACTTGAAAATGTAAGTGCAACAAGTAGTGGATTGTCTTGAAAAACCACCAACTTTAAAGACTCACATCAGATGGCAACCTGTTCCTGAAGCAGTACATACAATTTCCTGCCCATCTGCTGAATATCCCTCAAATACAGATACAACATGTTGGTAAATAAACTGCTACCTTTAGTAACTCTACAAAAGAATGCCAGAATTTGGGGTGAAGTTTGAATTTGAACTTGCTTTTTAACTAGGAAAGCTGCTTCAGCTTTAGCATCAGAGATATTTCCTTGTGATGTTACTGCTTTGGTCCAATATAAACTTTTAAGAGAATCAATTTGCACTATATTTACCTCAAAAATCAGACCTGGTCACCACGATCTGAAAGGTGAAGTTGCAACAGGTTGCAGCCTGCCAAGAGCCTTGGCCAAGTGCTCTGAAGCTGATAAAGGCATAAAGGTGATACAAGTGGGCTGGGAAAAGTCTTCTGAATCCTCAGGAAGGAGAAATGTTACCTATAGACTAGGGAGTTTCTAAAACTTTGCAGCAGAGCTTTAATTTGTTGATATTTTTTTGTTTGATGGTTTCAAGCTGCTGGTGGGAAATGCAGTACATGCTCATTCCTCACTTTTACAAACATGGGGTCACCCTTCCCCCCAAAACTGCTGTTTAACAAACCAGCCAGGTGCTGTTTAACATCAATGACTTTTTGCTTGCTTTAAAAGACACTTGCTGAGGAATTTCTTCTTTTACTGCTGGACTGTGAGGTGAAGTACAGGATTAATGCATAAAGCAGTGGGCAGCTGCCACGCTGACCTAACCCAGGATTCAGCTTTGGCTCTATTCAGGTAGACTACACTATATGAGCAATTAAGCAGCAAATGGTGACTGTTAGAAGTATGTCTAAACCACATCTGAGCACTTAAATTTGATGAAGTTTGATCCAAACCCAAGAAAAAA